CGCTTGTCAATTGGCCGCTGCTAAACATCAAAATCTCTGTTTGGCTGTCTCAAATCCGGCTGTCTAAGAGCCTTCCATTCCCGTCCTCGATTAAGCCATATTCGAGGATTTAGAGCAAATGATGCGCATGCACATGCCTCATTCCCTCCCACATTTTATCCCGCTCTTTGGGGCGCTGTGTCCGGGTTAAGTCATAACCGCTGGTGTGAAAATGGACCGCTTCCCTTTTTTCCTTTGAATCGAGAAAAGCACAATCCTTTTGTCTGTATAGTTGGCATTCTCATCTTAGACTAGGGTACTGGGATAATTTTCATGTATCTGTGTGTTTGTGTTGGCTAGTATCCCCGTGTTCAAGCCTGTCACCAGTCACCTTCCCTTCAGACAGAGATACGAAAAATACACACAATACCGCACACACACTGGTGACCTCTATATAGCCCACTTATACCTGTGAGAGTTAATTTCATATCCTACATCTCACGAGTGAACCCCTTGGGTAAATTTTTTGGCCAATTCCACGTCTGATTCCTCTCACTGCAGTCGCCTTTGCTTCCCTTTGTTTCTTATTAGCTGCTCCTTGGTGATGTCTCTTCCTATTGCTGAATAGTTGCTCTGGGTCAAAGCGTCTTCTTTTTTATGTCTTCGTTGAATCTCCAAGACTGCTCAGACAGTATGCGAAATTATCGCTGATTCTTCCCTCTTTTAAGCTCTTGTTCATCAGGATTCTTTGAAAGAGGATGTCCACAGCCTCCATGATCTTTCCTTTGCTGATGTCTTTCCGTTACATTCCCGTCATTTGTGTGGCCGGTAACGGCGATGTATTCAGCTGTCTCCGATCTTTCCGTATCCATTTTTCGGCATAGTCACTGGTGTTATTTGATTCTTGCGCTGATTGTCCTTCCCGTTTCTCCTATGCATTTTTGTTCACAGTCCTTGCAGCTAATGCCGTAAACTCTGGAGCCCTCCATTTTGTTGACTTCTTCATATTGTGTGGGCAGGCTGGTGAAGGGTTGTCCTTTCCTTCAGGATTGTACGAATGCTCCATTTCCATATTATCGGTCGTAGCTTCCGACCCGATTCGCAGGAGAGTATACATATTCATTGTTTTTCCTCTACTCCTCTTGCTTTCCTTTCCTAATGTCCGTCCTTCCATCTATTCATCACCATCCGAATGTTGCGTCGTATTGCCTCTTCTGGATATCCGTTTTCAAGAGACATCTGAGTTCGTTTTCCCAGTTGCTCTTCGCTTCCGCGGTATTCAAATCTTCATACCATAAGTATTGTTCGACTGGAAGTCAAGAGTTATACCAGCATGCGATTTCTTTCGGAAAAGTTTTTTCTTGAGAGTTTCCTCCGAGCGAATGACCTCCACATCCAAGAATGGTAAGCGTCCGTTCTCCTTAAAATCAATCGTAAATTTGACTTTGTAATCCATATTGTTTGAAGATCTGGAAGTCGTATAATTTTTCTCTTCCATGCGACTAAATTTCAAAGTAGTCATCCAAATAGCGCGTACTTACTGTTGGCTGCTGGGGTGACATTTTGAACTTCTCCTCTAACTTGTCCATGAAAAATTAGCCAACAGAGGGAAGAGCGATGATCCCATAGGCAGACCAAATATTCGCTCATAGATGCGGCCGTTGAACTTGAAATAGGTCGTTCTTATTGTTAGGCTGATTAATCGGGTTAGAGACTATACGCATTCTTTCTGTTCCCAGAATGTCATTTTCTTTTTCCAAGATCTCCAGTAGTGCAGTAAGAGCTTTTTCTCTTGTGATGCTAGTGTACATGGACTGTACATCAAAGATGACCAAATGTTTGCTTCCTTCCAACCTTGCGCCTTTGATTCTTTGGCAAAATTCGTATGAGTTCTTTGCTGTATTCGATAAGCTGTCATTCACGTTCTTTAATTTTAGGCAATCTATGTGTCGGTCCATGTTTGTTGTTAACTATCAGTCTCAATAGTTCTCCTCTGTGTACCTTTGGCAAACCGTATGATACTGGGGCTCTTGCAACGTTTCGTCTGAGTGAGTTGATTTGTCGATTTCCCCGTTCCTATTCATTTCCTTAAGCATTTTTCGCAGTCTCTTTGATTTTAACTGTTGAATCATTGGCAGTCGATACGTTGTAGTGTCCCCGATAATATTCTCCATTTTCTATGTAAATTGCTTCGTGTCCGTCGCCAGTGGCACCTCCTTTAACGCCTTGTAGGACTATTTGATCGTTTCTTTCCAATCATCTATATATCTTGATTTTATTGTCCCAATGTGTGGGTTCTTGATGTGCCAAGATTGTTGGGATGATTTCCATTTTCAGCTACATTTTTTGATTTTTCAGGTAGCTCCTCAGAGGTATTTATCACCTCCACTAACATGTCACTGACTGCCTTTCATTCCGAAGTGCAAAATTAAATCGCTTCTGAAGGATATCTCTGGTTTCCAGGTCAAGCAGGACGGAAAATAGATACACTACTTTATCCTCATTTCTAATCTGAGCTTTGAGACCCGTCAGCCTAGAGTCATCTTCATTTTTTCCACATGGTTGGACCTTGGGCTGCCTATATATTCCATATTTATCCAGCTTCTGGTGCCTTTCTTTGATAAAGCCCAACATCTTTTTCACCGTTTTGTCTGTCATCTTCTGTAGTTTATGGAAATCTGCGAGATTAGAAGCTGGCTCAGGTCATGTCTGAGTCTAGATTTAGTAGCTAAAAACTTGAATAATTTTGCTCTCTCCCTATACATCTCCTTATACATCTCCTCTAATTTTTGCAAAGATGCTTGATATAATATCACATTGACTTTCTCATTGAATTGTAAAAACTAAGAGGGATATCATAAAGTTCACAATAGTTAAGAAAGGTCAAATTAAAAATGATACAAGACCACCGACAGCTTACTAGCCACAGAAGATATACAAAGAGAAACCACAGCGATTAATGATCAACACAAGTTACATAAATTCATATGCTTAAAGTTCAAGAAGGTCAGCGACAAGCCCTCGAACTCCGTTAAGAACCCATCTATTTTCTCAAAAGATACAAAACATGGGATTGGCGGGGGCGGAACTGTTGGTAAGTTTTGATGTATACACAAATATCTGGGGCGAAAAGGCAGTTGCCGCCTTGCTGGAGATCTTGGAACGAGAGGACATTTTGGAAGCATAGCAGACACGGAAAGATTCATTAACACAACTGATTAACCTGATAGTAAGGATCACATACATTAAATCTAATGGCAATATATATGAGCAAATCTTTGGACTACCGATGGGATTCCTACTCTCACTTATTTTGACAAATTTATATAAAGAAAAAATGGAAAAGGAATTCGAAAAGTCAACGCTGCAAGCAAGAAAGCTCATGCGATACCTGGATGACTATTTTGCCTTTTGGTGGCATAAGAAGAATTTAGAAGAATTCCTGAACGTCATGAGCGACTTGATGAAAGGATCAAATTCGCAATAGAAGTGGAAGAAGAAGAATGATGAAGTCATTTGCTCCGACGAGACACTCAGAAGGAGTATAGGAAAGCCACAGATCTGATATTATAGATAGAGGTACGAGAGCTGCGGTCGAAACAAGAGATAGTTGTCTCACAGCACAAGGGTCTGATCATAGATGTGGTCTATGAAGTAGAGGTTTGACGATGAGAATAACTCGATGCACATACCGAAAGATGAAAAGGGAAGCTGAAATGTTAAATTAATTTTTAATCCCGTTTTAGAATCCAAACTTTGGAAGTCCGCACCTTGAGATTGCAATATAAGTGGTATCAAATACTTGAGGCAGTATAGATATATGGATACCATAGCAGACGACCCCAGACAAAGCGCAAACATCCAGGACTCCGTGACAATACAACCAAGCTGTGTAAATGAGGCCAAGCCAATTCTGGAAATCTAGTTATTCTTTTTCCTGCAGTATGCACATATACTGAATAAATTTTGTGGTACTTTCACGTAAAGGCTAAACAAATCTAGATTAGTAGACTAGGGCCTTAGTTATCTCGTATTTATTAAGTGTTGCAAAGCTGATATATAAATATTTAATGGATTAAGGACTTACATCAGAGAGTTTATCCACACCGAAAGCAACGATATTGAATAAGACTAGAATTTTCGTATCATATTTCGAAATATTAAAAGAAACAGTGGCCGGGAGGGCAAGGGTTTCAAGCTTCTAGAAAGGAGAGTAAATTGTTAGATTAGAATAGTAAAATATAAGTGATATAAGAAATTTATTGCATATGCGATAGTCAGATGATAAATTAATAATTAATTTATTTATTCAGAAAGTGATGAAAATATTGGTAATTACGTAAGGAGATATGATATGGCCTTGCCCAGAAGATATGAATCATTA